TTCTTCCTCCTAAAGAACATGCTTCTTCCCTGCCTAGGGACATTGTGTATAGACAATTCTACAGATGCTCTCGCCTGTGGCTGAGAGCTTGGAGCAGTCTAGCATGGCTGCTCTGCTAGGAGGGGAGTTAGTGGAGGAGCCACAAAGGCACCTGGTCAGCCAGGGCACTGATTACAACCTAACTTGAGCCAGGAGGGGATCTGGTACTAAAGTTCAATAGACTGGGATCTGCTACTGTTAAAGCTGCCTGTGCACCCTGAACTTCTGTTCTGTTGTAGGAAAAAACTGGTTTCCAACCACTTAAACTAGAAGTTGTAATGTTTGCACCTGGCCTGCACATGACACACTCCAGTTCTGAAATTTTGGACTTATTCTTTAGTAGACAAGAGAGAAATTGTGGGAAAATGTTAATATTTCTTGTTCAGTGATTGAATTCTTACCTGTTTATTGCAAGTCAAATTATCAGATTTAGCTTAAGCAATGTCTGTAGTGCTTAACATTACATCAGAACTTTAATATTTGGTAATTTTGAAACGAGGGCTCCTGCAAATGATTTTAAGAGCAAAGCCATTCCCAAAGTATACTCCACTGAGGTGTTTGTACAGTATGTTCTAAGAAGAACAGCTCAAAAATAAACATTATTCTGTTCCTTCTTTTAATACAGATCAGTATGCTTGCAAAGATTTATTACTCCTACTAAGTAACAGCCATTATCCTTAACAATGTAACAAGACCTCTACTAAATCCTCTTCTCATCTAAATCTATGGCTCAAAGTAGAACCGTTTTCTGGAGTCACCCCAGAATGAAGACAATGAATCGGAATCAGATTAATCTTAAAGAACACTTGCATCCTTCATCCTTCCGACATTGTATTTTAGGAAGATAAGTATAGAGCTACCACAGGAAAAAGATACCTGTGTTTGCAGTCTATAGGTGTCCCTGAAAAACTAAATCTTGCCTAGAACTAGATTTACAGCATCTCCACTTTACTGCCATAGGCATTTAATTAATTATCAATTGATCCAGTTTTATTTTTTTTACAAATACACTGCAAAAATAACATTGTGAACTTGTTTGATAATACTTTGTTTTGATCTTTAACTAATGGGGCCTTACAGCCAGCTCCTCTTCCCAAGATAGATGTCTTTTTATTACCATTCAGATGTCCATCTACTGTTGGGCCTAGAGTTGATGAAAGAAAGAGAAGGAAGTGAAGAAACCTAGAGATGTCTCCTGAAGACTGTCTTAAAAGAAAAAATTACCACAACTGGGCATCTTAGCTAAGGAGAAGTAGAGCAGGTGACTAGATGTCAAAGCTAAGGGAAAATAAGTACCCAAGTAGTAGTGTATGGACAGAAGCAAAACAAAGCAGGAGGACACAGCTCTGTGTGCCACAGGAGCATGGTGACTGATTAGACAGGAAGGCAAGCTATTTGGTGTTTTTATGAGAGCCCATACTTAACTCTGAGAAGTCTCAACTTAATCATATACTTCTAATTTATAAAAGAAGCCAAACTAATGAAGTTGTCTTCCTTGTTAAGAGTCTCTCTCCTCTTTCACCCAAAAGGGATAAATCTCCCATCTATGTAATTTGGGAGTGATCCATTACTGCTGTTTGCTACAGACATGTGTCCTGCTCTTCAGCTCAGGTAGCCAAGAGTTTTCAAAAGTTCATAAATGGAACTGAAAGGCTTATGCCTGGGAACAATTACTGCTTAATTGCAGTAAGCATGGTTTTGCAGAGATTCTGTTGTGGAAGTGCATGTGCCCCAGGAATGCAAGCCTGTCACTTTTGAATAGCAGTACATTGACCATGCCCGTCACCTTCCTTATCTACCCTCCAGTCTCATATAAGGCAAGGGCAACACAGCAGACGCACAGCAACTGCTCATTTCTTAAAATCACATAATTCAGAGCTCCAATCATCAGAGACTAGTCATGGAATCTGTGACAACCCGATCTCAAAGAACCACAGTTACTGGTGGTAAACAGATATTCTTGGAGGGCTTGTCCAGACTACCCTGAACTCATACAGGTTCCACATCAAATTAATAAGGATGCAAGTTAAGACCCCAGAGGCAGGAAGAGTTCCCTAACAGGACAGAGTATGGGAGAAGGAATTTCACCAATGTAGGGTATCCAAAACCAGCATGTCCTTGAACCTACAGATGATATGCAGAAGTGTCTACTAGTATGAATGAGCTCCAAGAAAACCCAGATTGCTTCTGTGTAAATGGTTCAGAATAATTGAATCACTGATAGAAAAAGCTCTTCATCTTCACCTTAGTACATCTAATCAAGGGTTTCCCCACTGTGAAGGAGGATATCTTCCATGTCAGATGGACAACCTTAGGGGGAATCAACTTGCCATCAAATGGAATGGTCAGGTTTGGAGTACTGACAGACAGTTTCATTAATTCTGAAAACAAGAAAGGTTCTGCTCAAGATGGGCTGCATCATTATGATAGCCCTAAATCCTGCTTGAACTTCCTGGCAAGTCTCAGAATAACAGGTGATGGAGAAAATTGTAAGACAATATCCGTTCCCATGAGAGGAAGACGCATTACGCGACTCCCTTGTAAATACAGTAGTTGATGTGTCTAGAAAAAGTCACACAAGTCCATAGTCAGTTATGGTGAAAACTGATTGCACAGTCTCAGAGGGGTCAGATATAGAGTGTGGCTTGCTTAATTTAGACTTTAATGTAGACTGCATTCCCAAGTATTTATTACATCTGTATCTGCAGCAGACACAATCGGCTATCTAAAGAGATTGCAATAGGCGTTATTAGACAGAGGACTTAGGGTGGAGACTGACTTGCACTCAGGATACTGGTATAGTTAATTCTCATTTTCAGAGGGGTAGCTTTACCCTTGAGTGGAATTAAGCCAAATATGTCATATATCTGCACCCTCAGTTACATGAGCTGGGCATCCATCTTATCTATACAACTATAATCAAGGCATCATTAGCAGAACAAAGGTTGGATATTAGTGCAGGAAGACACTCATTATTGTAATCAGCACCTTGCCCCATGTTAATCAATGTAGATTGAAAACAAAAATTAATGGCCCCAAATCACTATGATCACATATTAAAAGCATCCTAGCCTTTCCCCCTCTGCTCTGGGTGTTAGCTAGTGCAGTCATGCTCTAATAGGAATCAAGCCCATCATCAGAACAGTCCCTGAATTGGACTTACCAGCATGGTCTTCAGTGTTGTGAGACAAACCCTCCTTTCCACTACTAACCGTATTAGGAAACTATTCTGTTTGACAGTCTGCCCAAGTGCAGTCTTCAACTTTCAAGATAACCAACTAGAAAACAGTTACTGACAAATTTCCCATTAAAAACTTCTTCTGAAGAGAACTATTACTTTAGGACTAGTAAATGATAAATAAGACAAAGCAGAAGATGACTTGGGTGTTAATTAACAGTTAAAGTTGATTTTTTTTGTAAAAAAACAAACAAACAAACAAAAAACAAACACTTGTCTAAAGTCCTGCAGTCAAGGACTGGAAACAAAAACTTGTAATGCAGGAGGGATTACAGGTAATGCATTTTTGGAGAACAGTGACACGCTGTAGCTGTTATTGCTAATCTATGGTTTGGAATAGATTTAGAAAATGTTTGACAAGGAACTTTTTAAAAAAGTATCTTTACATACAATCAATAGAAGTCAGCAAACACCCTCTGCTTTAAATTGTTCAGACTGAAGCTAGCGTTTCCCTTTTAGGGCAGGGATCAGCAACATTTTGCAGCAGGGAGCCACTTCAGCAGTGTTTGGCTCCAAGTGTGGACTGTTTCCAACCCAACCTTAACTGCTGCAGCTGGAACCCCAGCAGCAGCTGCCACTCCCTGCACCCACACAGTGCCACTGCCATTTCTCTACTACTGGGCCACCATATGTGCAAGACCTCCTGCTGCCAAAATGCTCCAGAAGCCCACCAGCTCTGTGGGCCAGATAAATGGCTCCTCGGGCCAGATCCAGTCTGCAGGTTGCCAACCCCTGCTTTAGGGAGCCAGTTGCGAATGTGGGGAAAACAGATGACCCAGAAATTGTCCTGTTGCGCCACCACATACCTTGAAAGCCATTACTTAAGTCCCAACAATGGCCATTATCTGAAGCTGTAATGTTGGTGCATTTACTCTAAGGATACAAATCCCTATGACTGACCAGGTTGGCAGCATATTTCTGCAGTCTTCTCTCCTTTTCTGGTGCTCAGTCCATCCCAATTATAACGAGCAAGATCTGTCTTGACTAGCTGTGGTTAGGACATAACTGGAGAATGAAATGAGCACAATCTTCTTCAGCCTCAACCAGAGCACCAGACATTAGGGCAAACAAAGGAAAACACAGCTGGCATAATGTAAAAGAAAAGCTGCACATTACATACATGGAACTGTTTTCTTCCAAATCTGCAAATAAATATTTCCCCAAACAAAAAAGTGCAAAACAAGGAGGTTAGACCATAAAAGTTTAATTCTAAAATCCTACACTTCTAAAATATTTCAAGTAGCGTATCTTGTCCCCTGGTTAACAGAATACATCTTTTAAAAACGGTGAAAGACTAGTAATTTATGGTTTGTCATATTAATGTATTTAAATACAGAGGCAACCCAGATATTAAAATCCTTTCAGTTTGACCTCCCAAATTTTGGTCAGGGACAAATTTTAGGATCCACTAAGGTGCATATTTTTTTACTTTTAATTTTACTTGAAGCAACACAATGTTTTTATGATTTAGCATTTTATGGAAACCATTCCACATCCACTTTCCCTTTCCTTTCCTAAAAGGATAATTTTAGGAAGGATTATGATTCATATATTAACTACAGCATGTTTCAGTGACCATTACAGATGATATGCAAAGTTGGCAGTTTTAAATAAAGTCTCAATTTCACTGTCCCTTAATAAGCTGTCTCAAAACCAACTGCTGAAAGCAGAGAGAAATTTAGGCTATACCTTTTTCAATCACAAAAACACACAAAAAGCCTTGAGAGATTCAGTCTTTTTTAATAAATTAATGTCATTCAAAATACAGTGCTAGAACATGATGCAGCTGAACATGCTAGTAAGGTTTGTCATGAAGCACCTGTGTTCATATTAGATTGGCGGCGCCCCGCTACTGCTAGTGGTTCCTGGGATTAATGCCAGAGCAGCACTAGTCATCTGCTCTCCTGCACATACAGCACAGGATATTCCTGAACAATTTGCTCTCCCCCCCCCCCCAAAAAAAGTAAAAAACCTGATAGCTAAGGGATATCTATACACAATCACACTACAGTAATGCTTGTTATTAAATTAAACAGAAAATAAAGACCTGGTTAATCCACACTAAAACTCTGTTTTACATTGGAAAAAATACATCAGCAGCAGGAAGTAATATACATGAGCCAATGTTATCGTAATACAGAATGTGGAGACATTTAGTGATTAAAGCTCCACACAGACCCGCACTATGAGAGGCTGGCAATTCCTATTGCAAGCCCAGCAACTTAAGTCCACACCTGGTAAACTACCAGCTGCTTGGAAGACCTGTATTCTAAATGGACAGGTATAAGTTAGTGAAAATAGACTACATGCACCTAACAATACAGCTTGACTGAACCGGCAGTCATTTATTTTGCCCTGCATGTTACATACAATGGAAGATCTACCCTTCCTACCACAGGTAGATCCATGGGATTTGTTTCTTATTCTTTTAATGGCATTGCTATACCAACATGGATATTAATGTTAAGTGCAGCACAGTCCATTACACTACACTGACAATTAACTAGCACTTGAGTAGAATATCCAGAAGTAGTTCAAATATAACTGGAAGATACTATCAGAACAATTGTGACATACCGTCCTAGATACAGCTGCTTTTGTAAAGCAAAATTTTCCTGAACCAAGACTTTATAGGACTAGAAGTTAATTCTTCAGACAATAGTCAGATGCTTAAGCTCATGATATACATACAAGTTTCTCAATTATCGGAGCATTTCATATTATGGAAGCATATCTGCTCATAAAAATTCACTGAATGGCTGCAAATATTAAGTAGGGCATAAAAATACAATTTATGAAAGACAGGTATAATGTTTCTATTTCCAGCCCTGTTCTTTCATAAGAGTTCCTTCCATGGTAAAATGAGCACAGAATCAGGAATAGAGTCTATAAATTTGGGAGCTATAAGGTAACCATCCCATCCAGCTCAAACTCATCAGGTCCTTCCGCTGAAAAGAGATATGTTGGAGGTTTCCATGGGGACTCCTCGAGGCAAGATGGATAAAGTTTTCCTACAGTGCACCGGAAGTCTTTCCCCAAGTCCCAGAGTACACGCTCTGATATAGACTGTCTCAGAGACCACTGATCATGTTCCAGATCATATTGGTAGGTGGCATACTTGGCTCTCTCATTCATGTGGGTTTCTCGTATAAAGACGCACAAAGAATTGGAGATCACAACAGCTCTAACACAAGGATCAGAATAACGCTTGGCAGGGATATTGGCTGCCATTTTCCACTCATTCTTATTCACATCATAGATTTCCACAGTTACGGAAGACCCATCTACAGTGCTAGTTGGGAGTCTTATACCAGAGTTGCTGCCAATATGCAGTCCTCCAATATAGAATATTTTATCACCAAAAGCGGCAGCTGAAGCAAAACATCTACTAGTTTGTCTCATAGCCATTTCTACCCAAGCATCGGATCTGGGAAAATAACAGTACATCAAGTTGTGTGCCATTACATAAATGCAGTTATGAACAGCTACTGCTGTACTCCATTGCCATGCACAAGGCAATGGGCTCACCATGGTCCATTCATCTTTTTCAGTATCATATCTTTCCACAGTTCTCCTGTTAAGTTCGCCACCTACACTGTCTCCTCCAATTGCATAGATGTATCCTTCGCAGCAGACCAAAGAAGGTTTTATACGAACAAACAACATTGGGGTCTTTGGAAACCATGTGTTTTGCTGTGCATCAAACCAGTAAAAGCAATTCACAGTTCTGAAGGCAGCCTGAAGTTTGCTACTTTTACTGTGATTGGTCTTTGTGTTTTTCAGAGGAATCTGTCCACCTGCTATGTAGATATCATTATCAGGAGTCACAAGTGTTCCAACCTTATGCAAGTCAGCAGGAGGGTTGCAAAGCTTGTAAACTTTTTCTGCCTGGGGACTGTAACAGACAGAAGAATAAAGACTACCAGAGCTTTCAGCAGCAGCTTCAATGAATATCATCATCTCCTCTTTAGTCATGCCAAGTCTTGGTTTGAAGAACTTGGGCATAGATTTATACAATCCTTGCACCACCACTGATTTATCATTAGGTGGTAGACCTTGAAACCAGGCTCTCTGTGTTACTTCTGAAAGTGCATCAATTCTGATTTGGCTAAGAACAGAAGATAAATACTGCGATGGTGAGTCTGTGTTGTCCCCCAGCCATACCATAGCAGCTTCACGAACTGTCCGTGATTCTGTGTTGTACTCCAGCCATACCATAGCAGCTTCACGAACTGTCTCCTCTTTTTCCACATTTAAATTATCACTGCTTAAAATATCTATCAGTAGATCATGTGACAGTTGCATGAAAGCCTCTTGATGATATACAGCCGTAAACTTGTGCTCTACCATTCTTTTAGCACTCTGTTTTAATTCTTCACAGCTGAAGAGATCAGCAAAACTAAATAACCGCACACAATTTTCTGCATTAATTTTCTTAATTAAATAGTCTCTACATCGCTGCAATACATCTTCTACCTGCAAGACAAAAAGGTGCAGTAAATAGCACAGAACACAATATAGTCCTTCATTTATAAAAAATAAATATAAGTTCAGAGAAAAACTGCACTGATAGTATTACTTACAAGAGATTTTTGACCCCGGAATTTTATTTTTTGCCTTTCAATACAAGAGACTATATAATTTGTAACTGGACACCATGTTTACTTGGCATACAAGTTGCTTGATCCTAAAATTTGTAAGATGCTAACAGTGTCCATAGACCAAAATGTGTTTTCTGCTACCCCTTTATACACCATAAAATAGGCTGGGGCAGAATTGCTAAGAATTGGAATCTGACAAAAATCTTAGGACAAATTAAAACCAGTATTTCGGTATAGAGATTAAAGAGCAGTTATCATACAAATTTCATTCAAAATATATTTGATACTCCTACCTGTAAGAAGCAAGCAGTCTCATAAAGCTGTTCTACCGTGCTGTCACTTATTGCCAAGTTACCCGTGTAGGAGTAAGTTATAATGATTTTTAAAGTGGCTGCATCCATATTCCTCAGATGTACGTGTGTTTGCTTACTTTCACTTAACCCACTCATGAACATGGCCCTGAAGAAAAATATATGATATTACAGCATGTATTATTGACCCTATCAGTGCTTTAGGTATCATCACCTCCACAGAACGTGCTCACAAATAAGTTTAAACATTCCTATTGTGCTTTTCTACTTACAGGAATATAAGGATTACCTCAGATTACCATCTAGGATTTAAAGATGAAATGTCTGTACAGATAGTTTCTCAAAAGGTACAGCTCCATTGTGCTCCAAACATGAAAAGTGTTTAACATTTAAATGAACATCATATTTTATCCATAAGAGGAAACTCAACCAGCAAAGTTTCAAGCTTTACCAGAAAGAAAGGGGAGACATATTACACTTATTTTTACATCTCTCTATTCCTATTGCTAGGCAGTCCAATTTCAAGTTCATTGTTTTGTTTTTTTTAAAGTAATACAATTACTAAAAAAAAGTATTTGTTCTATAATTATTCATTTCATAATAACTACTACCCACATTACTTATACAATTCTCATTTGTGTCAGACACCAAATAGTAAACTTTGTTATTATGTTCAGGTAGCTAATGAAGCAAGAACTGTACTGTCATTATAAGCTTTCATAAAAAAAAATTAACAACATTGCTTATGAAGTCTCACAAAGGTTAGGATTGAAAACTCAAGAGACTTCAATGTTTATTTACATGGAAATTAAGTTTTCACACTGCAAAGGCAAGAGTGGGAAAAAAAATAAGAGTACTTTAAAAGTAGAGATGAAAACAGAACATGACAGCGTAAAACATCTTATTCCATATGAAAACAAGCACATTAAATGAGTTGAAACAACTCGTTGACAGCTTTTCCACACCAGTGCCTTATGAGTACTAACTACCCTCAACTATCATTCACTGATCCAAATTAGCATGAACCATTGGAACTCTACAACCAGTTATGAATGATATCTGAAGAAAGGCATGGAACTTCATAGAGGATTATTCCTTATCTAGTGGTTCCAAATTTCTTAAAACCCAACACAGAAATTCTAGCTTCTATGGTGGATAGAGAGAAGACCACCACCAATTTAGTACAGAAAGCTATAAGCTTGCATAGAAATTCCCACCTCTAGGAGCAGAAGACCCCAAGGTCACAAAGCGCTGCTGAAAGGAAAAAACTGGTGTCACTTCTCACTGGGGAGGTCTTCAATAATATACCCCAGGGTGGTCAACCTTTAATGAGTGCCACAAGTAGCCCAGGCAGCCTCTGTGCGTGACACGTGGCAAATTAGAGGGGATAGGCCACAGTGCAGGGAGCAGAAAGCAGAGAAAGGAGATCAGAGTGGCTTTCAGGAAGGTGCGGGGCTTAATTTGTGGCATGACAAAAAGTTGGCCTTCGCTACCATACCCTAATTCTATTTATATAAAAAGTCTTAGTCTCCGTCTGGCCGTAATGCTTTATTCACACTCCGACTGGTTGTCTCAGCAGCCAATCAGAGTGCTGCAAGAGCATTCCGGGCAGGTTGCAGCAGCAGCGTGGTGGAGTGCTGGTCTCACCCCTGCCCAGGCTCTGCTCCCTGGAGGCAGCGGCATGGGGTGCTGGCTGAGGGAGACAGAGGGGATGGCGGGGCAAACTCCCCTGCTCCTTGGAGGCGGTGGCGCGGGGGGAAGTCCAGACGAGGACATGGGGGTACAGGGCCAGAGGCTGGGCTCTGTACCCATTGGCCTCCCCCCATCATTTTTGACGGGCAATTTGCTAATACATTTTAGAACTGTGCCAGACAGGACAAAATAGAGTAGTCTAGTCTAGTCCAATGGATTCTGAGCTGTAATCCTCAGAACTGAAGTAAGTAGCCTGCAGTTCCCACCTTTTAAAACAAGTGGATGGAGGCCCACAGGAAACTAAAGGGTCAACAGTCAGTCATGAATTGATTCAAAAGTTAGGGAAACCACTGGTCTGGCTCACCTGGAAAAAAATGTTCTATGTGCTAAAGGCATTGCATAAACCAGGTTACTTGGACAGAACTAACTCCAGAAAGAGGGCTTATAATCACAAAAATGTTACTTCCTTTCTCCAAACTTCAGTATCATCTGCCTATAACAAGAGATAGGATGCCAAAAATCCTGATTTAATCACTTGATACACCCCTCTGATATTTAGATTTGCAATATTTACTCCAGATTTCCAGCATTAATATGATCTATGAATTGTTGTGCTGTTCATTAATTTTAAATAAACAAGTAGTGCTGCATATAAAACCACCATGTTTTGTTCTGAAGTAATTTCTCATGATTTTAACACTTACCTGAAATAAGAGCTACAGGTTGCAAGAACCATCTTATGACAGGGGAATTCGGTGCCCTCTACAATCAACACTATGTCAGTGAGCAACCGCTGATCATAGAATAACTTGAACTGCTCCAATAAGGCCACAGCATATTCGGTATTTATCTGCCTTTCGTCCTGGGTAGACATGACTGTATTCCATTAATACTTCCAGAACCAGATTAGAGAAGACGATATATTTCTGCAGAAAGAGGTCAAATGAATGTTTCTGGAGTAAGAAGAAACAGCAGGAGATGTCTGCAGCCTTTAAAATTATAATACTAGGCAGTATTATCTTGGATTCCTAAATCAAGAATGTTTCAGGCTTCAACCAATTACTAGGTCATCACGTTCTAGTTTCGTGTCAGTCTGTTCTGAGACTTTCAAGAGTATCTGCAGGCCTCCTGTTGGGAGTTGTAATGATGCAGCACATGAATGCGTAAGAGCAAGGTCTGAGGTAGATTTTTTGGAAACATCTCGTAATCAGTGGCTGCACTTGAGTGACTGAAAGCAAGAAAAAAATTATTGCACATATTAGTACCTTCAAACAAACAACCCATAGTTTCTTCTATCAGTTACCCTGTCCAACTGGCTCCCTTACAGGAAGTCTAGAAATACAATCTTAAGCAAAGTTACAAAAACGTTTCTAAAAGGACATCAAAACATGTGCGAAAGTAACTAAAAGGAAAGCAACAGAGTTTGTACAACCTAAATGCATAAAATAACAAAAAGATAGGTCACTACAACACTAAGATTGAAACTTAATTTAAACTCACAATATAGAGAGACAAAGTTACGGTTCACCTAGCAATATTGTGCATTTAGCACACTGTTTCTCTTTCCAGAGTATTTTAAATGTTTCTAAATAAAGGTAGATGTTCCTTTATTTCCTTCAACCAATACTAAAAATAGCTATCCTATTTTTTTCACACCAATATTAAAACAAACAAAGGTCTTTTGCCTGCGCTATATGCTTTTGTTCAAATGAAATTTAACAACAGTACCTGTTTCTACAGTTAAGCAAGCAAAGTTGATTCTCATTTCCCACATTCAACCTTCAGGAAGCCATATCAATCCACCTGTTCTGTGTGTAACATATAATCCTTTCAGAAAAATTCTACTAGTCACATGTGAAGTTTTCAGACAGGATTTTGGCAGGGATGGAAAGAATCAATTTTTTTACTCCAGTGCTTGTTTGGATCAGATCTGTCAAAAATGGCTTCCATAATTTTATAGTTGATTTAAGAAGCACCCCTACTAGTAGTTTTAATGTGGCCAACACTACTTACAGTACCACAAACAGAAGGGAGGGGGGAACCCTTTTCATACAACATATGCCTATGAAGTTGAAGCAGCCCAATTAAAATTTTGCCCTGAAGTGGACTCTCAGTCCACATGCAGCTGTGACAAGGAACCATAAGGAGATGTAGGAGAAACCGCCATAAAGTAAAGCCACATAACAGACAAATGGTCTAAAATGGAAATGGAAAGGAGGGAGACATAAATAGACAATCGACCAAGCAACGAAGTCAATCACTACACGATTTACAGGTCCAGACATTCTCTCCACAGCTTGCAAAACCTGTGGAATCTTAACACAATTGAATATACAGGAAAGTTTCCATGAAAAGCTTAAAGTAAAGACTGGAAGAATCCCTAGAAGAAACTAAATGCTACACTTGAAATTCTAGCATTAAAGAGTTGGAAAACCCCAAGTTAAGACTCCATTAAAAAATAAATTGAAGAAGTTTATCTAATCACTCTCAGTACAATAAGTTTCCAGCCTCCCACCTGATCTTTTCTTTTTTTAAATAGATAAGCAAAGAAGAAAGTATTGAATGCCGAAGCCCTGATGTTACAGGAGTACACAACATGAACAGCACCATTTAAATATACTGAGTTAAGCATGTACATGTGTTCAAAGCATTAGGAGCTAAAATTGCATTTGAATTAAAAACTTTCACTTCAAAAAGTTCTTCAGTGTTAACTGAAAAAAACTGATTAATTTTCAATAAATTAAATGTTTTGTATAAAAAAAAAAATCATTTTCCCCCCAATCTGAACCTAATTTTAAGTTCCTAAAGCATGTTTTTTGAGTCCAAGTGGGCACATCATCACCAACAACAAGTAGGTTAGGAGTACAAGTTACATATTAATTTAAAACTGCAAACCCTAACGGAAAACAGCCTGGCCAAGGCATTTCAGCTTCCCTAACTTCTAGAAAATTGACTGAAGATGGGGCTTACTGTAAACACAGCATGAACCAATTGCTTATCAATTTGTTTCTGAATTTGGGTTATAACATTATGTGAGTGAGTTTCTGGATGCATCTTCAGCATGCACGCCCATTTAAGTGTAAAATATAATGTCCCTGGGGTGTAGGTTGTAGCCGTGTGTTGTCTAAGGACACAAGCAGACAAGGTTCTTTGGGTAAATCCAATATCCCTTATTAGACCAACTCAAATAGTTGGAAAATTTATATATTAAAAAAAAAAAGGCAGCTACTAACTGGCAATGTGAACATAAACTCCAACTGAAATATATATCTCTCTACCATGATCAAATCTTGCACTTAAACAGATAAAAGACTAGCTGGGCCAGTTAAAAATTTGAAAGATTTGAAAACAAAAAACTGATGAAATTTGTAAAAGACTTAAAGGTTAAAATAGAGAAGTCATGGAATCATCACTATTCAAGTATTTTAAAGTATTAGCCAATTGCTTATCAAGAATGATGGGGGGGTGGGGGGGGAAGGCAGCTGGGGTGGAGTGCCATCACTATTCAAATATTTTATAAAGTATTGGGAAAGGAGTAATTAAACGGTGGAAAACGGAAGAGGAAAGATATACATCTTTCTGTAGATTGCTATGAGCTTCTTCCTAAAAAAATCTAAATGAAGTCTGAAAGGAAAAGCAAGCAGGCTAAAAAGCAGATGTAGCAATGTGTATTTGCTAAGAGGACTGTCAGAATGTTGCAGTATCTCATTCAATTACTCTAAGATTACCAATTATTGTATAAGTAACTTCTAGAGGTCACACTGATTTGCTACTTTTGTAGAACAACATCTATAAAGGCCCTTCCTGCAGGTTCTGTTGCCCCTACAATTTTCATTCATTTCAAGTAGATACAGCATTTTGAAGTCTGCATGCTTTTTAACTGCCATTAGTCCAATCATCTTTCTCCAATTACAGTCAACCCCAGATACTGTCAAGTCCACTTAATATAACAGACTTTGGTCAGCCCATGCATGTGACATTAACAGGAGCTGTGTACCACATGATGGCATATGATGAGAATGTTTTACAAGATAGCAGCAAACTGTAAGAGATCATTTTAGTTCTGAATGTGTATTCTGTTCTAGGTGTTCACAAAACACACTTACGCATGTTCCGATTGATTCCTGAAGGGCAGCACTACACCTATAAAATCGGAGGGGCTAGTATGTATTCTCTCTCCTGAAAATATGTAAGCGTATGTGAAACTATGACACAAAATCTAACAAAGTAAAAATTAAAAGTTATACAAATTAACGGATGGGAGGAGAAAGTATATCACCATACAAGAAAAACCTGGGAGGACTTATGCCTCAAGTTCTCCTCCCTCATCACCCCTTTCACAGGTGACACCATACATTAGTGTCTGACAAGCCTCACAATTATTAACAGAATATTTTTTTGCCATCATACCTTTGCATATATTTTTTCTACGCAAAGAAAAATCACTTTGCCAATCATCAGGTATATAAAGTGGTTTAATCTTCGAACATCACTTGATACTTGTAAGATTAGCAGTTTATTTGCCCAGCAGACAGCTTACATTGCTGACCTTAACTCAGGAGCATCAAACATATGGCCAGTAAGCAGATCCAGCCCATGAAGCTACTCCATCCAGTCCACAAGTGTGCCAGTAGTTGGGGGCATGCCCAGGAATGGGTGATACCTGCCAGTTTTCAGGGCTCCTAGGCCCTGCTGGACAAGGCCACCAGTGGCAGAAGGGCAAACGGGCTGTGCTGCCAATGCCTGCTGGCCCATTGTCAGAGCAGTGGGCCACTGGCACCCCTGGCCCCATGAATCATATCCAGGAGGAACCCCACAGCCTGGATCCAGCTGTTTGACACCCGTACAGAAAGTGGCCTATGACAATAGTCCAGAGCAACAATAAGCAACTTCTCACCATTATTATGTATGGAAGTCAGCCACTGATTATGAAAACTGTGATATCATTCCTCTTCATATCACACTCTATCCGTTATCCGGATACAAGTCTCTAACAGATTAAGATGACTTTCAACCAATTACTGAAAGTACCAGTGAATACCAATTTGAGAATGACCAAAACTATTCACACAAATCTATTTTTCTTTTCCCAATTCATAAGTAGGGGTCTACTTAAATCATAGAGAAACTAAACGATTTTCATGGGATGATCGCAGTATAAATAGAAACTTCAGAGGATATTTCATGGATGTGCTCATACACAACATACAATAAAGTAAATTATATGTAGAGTTGTACATACTAATTTATGCTTACCTTAATAAAAACATTCCATTAAGGTAAGTACCTACGCTCCAACAGGGGGAGGGAGGACAAGGGGGCTGCCACCGTGTGCATCCCTGGAGCAAAGAGGAACAGCCTGCGGCGAGTCAACTGCTGCCCTTCGTGCCGCCCTGCCAATGAGTGCCTTCCCCTCCAGGGCAGGCAGGCTGCGAGGCCAGGCTGCAGTGACAGCGAGGATCGCTGGCTCCCATTGAGGAGTCAGCATTTTATTTTTATTCAGTTTTTATTTTTAAGTTGATTTCACAGGCAATCCCATATTTTATGTTTTCTGAAAAACCTGTGGAATTGCAAATAGAGTAGACTAGACCGTTATTCATAAGAACTTAATTACTCAGAAAGAGAAAAACTCTGTCAGTGTTTTTGTTTAGGAGTGGAAGGTGATAAAGTAGGAGTTGCTATACCAGGGGTGGGCAATTATTTTGGCTGGAGAGCCACAAAAGGAGTTTTGGTGAGCTGTCATGAGCTGGGTCAGCCCCCCCCCCAGCTATAGCTTACCAAAACTCCCTAAATGGAGGGCCACACTCCCACCCCCACCTGGGACTGCAGCATGCCCCAATCCCCACTCTGCCTGGAGCTGCAGGAAGCCCCAAGCCCACCTGCTCAGAGCTGCAGGAAACCCCAATCCCCACCCCCCCCCACCCCTGTCTGGAGCTGCAGGAAACCCCAATCCTACCCCACTCCCGAAACGGAAGCAAGCCTCAATCCCACCCCCCACCCTGGAACTGCAGCAAGTTCCAATCTGCACACTGACCCAGATGCTGGCCATGTAGACAGTTTACGCCAGCACCCACCTGGCACACAGGAAGCATCCCTGGATGGGCACTGGCATCAGCTGTGGACATGGGAGGCAGGTTCTGGGTGGGGATCAGGGCATCTGCCCATATCTGCAGCTTAGGCCAGCACCCACCTGGTATGCAGGAAACAGCCCCAGGTGGGCACTGGCAT